TATTTGGATTTACGTTCTCCCTACCTGTCACTTGACAACAGCAGAGTGGTTTGTCTGGCATAAATTACTCTAGGTGGCATCTGGCAGAACAGTTGTTACAGCTTGACAACTTTCATATTGAAATGAAAAGCCCCCACTAGAAAAGGAGGGTACTAAAATGAGTATTTCCCATTGGATCAACTCACTCTAGGTAATGAAAACAAAATCTAACATGGATAATGAATATATAACTGGTTGAATCATCGTATTCAACAGTCATCAATGGCTCAATGCCTACTTGGGAGGAGATATTGAGTGGGGTTCCCTAGGGATCTATCCTAGGTCCAGTTGAATATTGTTGAATATCTTCAGTAATAATTTGGATGAAGGGAGTCAGCGCATGCTTACCAAATTTGTGGATGACATCATGTTGTGTGGAGCTGCAGATACTCCAGAGGGTGTGGCTAAGATCCTGAGTGACCTGAACAGACTGGAGAAATGGTCTATGATCAATCAGATACGATTCAGGAAGGACAGGTGTAAAACCCTGCACTTGGGACAGAATAATTGCATGCACAAATACAGATGGGAATGTGGCTAGGCTGCAGTACTGCAGCAAAGGACCTGAGAGGTACAGTAAACTATAAGCTGAATGTAAGGTAACAGTGTGCTCTTGTTGCAAAAAAGGCAACAATATTCTAGGTTGTATTAAAGGAGCATTAGTTGCGAATCATGGGAAGTGATTGTTCCACTCTGTTCAGCCTGGGTAAGGCCTCACGTAGAGTACCATGTTCAGTTTTGGGCCCTACCCTTCATGCAGGATGTGGACAGTTCGGAAAGAGTGTAGGTGCACAGCAGCAAAAACTATTAGCATTCTGGGAGCTGAGACTTAAGACTGAAGGAATTAGGGTTAGTTAGTCTAGAGAAGAAGAGAAAGAGGGGGGAAAGGGATTTGATAAGTTCAGATACCTGAATGGTGATCATAGAGAGGATGGAGATGGGCTTTTCTCTGTGGCTGTAGGGGACTAGAAGCAGTGGCCTCAAGCTGAAGCAAGGGAAATTTAGGTTGGAGATTAGGAAGAATTTTCTGGCTGTCATAGCGGTCAAGCATTGGAACAGGTTACCTAGACAAATTATGGAATCTCCGTTCTTAAAAGTAGCAAGAGCAGGTTTGCCAGACACTTGGTTAAGATGGCTTAGTCAGGGGTGATCCTGCCTTGAGCAGGGGGGCTGGACTAGATGACCTTGTGAGGTCTCTTACAGCCCTACTTTCCTATTAACCTGTTATGAACTTGATTTGTTAAGTGTCAGCGCTATCTGGCAAGCTGTATACCCAAGTGTTATCCCTTTGGTTTTAGCATTTCAGAAATATCTTGCCATCTTGTTTTCTGCTTTCAGTAATTTGTAGTCTGCTGTCCATAGGTATGGCCTGTAAAAATGAACCAAAGAATGAGAGAGAGTGCATCATTGTTTGGGAAAAGAAGCCAACTCCTGAGGAGAAGGTCAAAGCAGAGACTCTAATGCTCCCTTCTACATTCTTCTGTGGTGTCAGCAGTGATACTGATGAAGACCATGACAATCTGGACGATTTTCATGCAGAACTGATGAAAAAAGCTCAAGAAGTTGAAGTAGGAATTATATCTTTAAGCATGACTTTCACATATGTTTTGTTTCATCATTTAAGAATTTTAACTTAAAAGGAACTTGTGACCCTTTGAAATTCATTGCATTAATGTTTGCTTTTTTAAAATGGATGTTGCTGCTCCCACATCTCGGTGTGCACTAGTTTCCCTTATTTGGGAGTAATCCCTTCAAGAGGTGCAGTTTAGACTAAATCTGATGGAACTATATGAAACTTTAAGACAATTTTAGATGTTTTCTTTTGATGCAATCTAATAGAGTTTAATTTGTGGGTTTCCCTTTTAAGTTTTTTGATTTTTTTTGTATTAAAATAGATTACAAAATGAGTTATTCCTCATATGTCAAATATGGGTCCAGGGGCAGGCACTATTACTGCTGAATATGTAGTCCTTGTTGATGCATGGTGCCCCTGTACACAGGTAGGCCAGAAGGTGTTCTGTAGTCTGAAAGTTTCCTCCACATTCATGCATGGTATTTTGTGTTTTTAGAGTATCTCCCCAAATTTGGATGTTAACTTCAGTCTTACCCAGCCCCCTGTTTGGAGGGAATAGAAGCTTCCCCATGTTGGTCAATTGAGCTCTGCACCTGCAGGGTCATGTTTGGTAGCTTTGATATTCATCTTAACTCCCTCCTGGGTCATCTCTACCAAAGCTGTAAGAAAATTATTTAACCCAGTTAAAATCTGGTTTGAAGAAAATGCTTTTAAAAAAATGCTTTAGAAAAAATTCAAGGGCAGAATTTGACACTCCTTGTTGCCCATATTGATTTAAGCTCAATTAGTAGTAGGGTGCTGAAGAAATCCCAGATACTGTTTTGAAATAACTTAAAAAAATATCAAATCTTAGTGTACCAAATTCTTTCAGCAATGTTTGAGAATTATGGATTTTAAAAAGTTACCTCAGTTTTACCATTGAGAGGTGAGAAATTGTGGCATCCAACTTGAATATTCAGACTCCTACACTTCTCCCTGTGGCTTGCATACTGAGTTCTAGGAGTCAGGAGTTATCTGATTCTTCATAGATTGGCCACAAATCAGTGAGAACTGAAGGTGGTCCACAACTCTAAAAGTTGCTGCTGCTGGTTCTTAGTAGACCAAGGTTTCTACCTTTCTGCAGTGTTCTTTAGTGAACAAATGGAGGAACAGCAGTGGAAAATGGGGTTTGATATTTTTCAGAGGAATTACAGACCCATGATTTGTCACCTTGGAAAACTGTGGAATCCTTTCAGCAGTGCTGCAGAATATTGGAACTGATTCACAAGATAAACCCTGAGACCTTTTAAATACAAATCCATAGGGTCAAAAACTTTCTAATCTTAGTGTTCTTACCAATGCTTTGCCATACAAGAATTGTGCTTTACGCATACACTTTGGATATATATTTACACACATACACATTTGTATGTGTACACATACATATTTATATTTATATATTTATACACACCCAAACACATTTATATATTTATACACACCCAAACGCATATAATATAATAAACATGTTTGCATATATGTGCACACACATGCACTTATGCATGCACACCCACACATGCATGAGTGCACACAATTGTTCTGTGTGCATGTGTTCTGTTAGTGTTTTTGCCAAAGTAGTCTTCTGTTGCCAAGAATTCACCAAGAACACTAATAGACAGATATTATAATACAGACAGATGATAATAGATTATAATTAGAAACAGACAGATGATGAGAGAGTTCCCCTCCCTGCCACCCCCAGTCAGAAAATGAGCAAAGAGCTGACACTCCGCAGGGGCTGTGAGTCTAATGAGGTTGAAAACCACTGTTCCAGGTGTTTCAAATGATAGCCTCCTCTAAAATATTCACTGGAAACTTAAAAAGAAAAAAAATGCATGTCTTGTTTCTTTTAAAGGAGTTTCAAGAAAATAAAGTTACCAGTTCATCTGATGTAGTCTTTACCAGTGAAGTATCTGTTCCCTCAATCAGTGAGGAAGCAATATCTGTTCAATCGACCATTACACGTGAAGAACCAGTGTCTACCACAGAATGTACAAATGTATCTCAGACTTTATCAGGGACTGATGACAAGCCTGTAGATTTGTCGACTAAAAAGGAAAATGATCCAGATTCTGCAGACTCGACAGTTCAAGGTAGGATGCTGTCTTGTGGTTTAAAACCATACTTCTTTATGTACCAAGCTTAACAAGAAATTTAATATCTTGTTTCTATTTAATACAGTAACTTCATTAAAATAAATAAATTGGCTTAGTTTGAGAACTGATGTAGTTAATGAAAACTGGACCTGTACCTTAAAAATCCCACAAACATTCAGTATTTTTACAAAAAAAAAAAAAAAAAAGTAACATTCCAGTACATCAATATTCATTAATTGTGGAGGTTCTTTTTATACAAACAATGAGGCACTACTAAAATTCCATAGTTCTGCCCAGAAAAGTATGGTAACTTCTTCAACTTTTTTTATACAGTTCCAAAAGAACCAATATATTTGTTTGTTAGGGTATGTTTAAACCTTGTCAGGCTTACTTTGCTTTGTCACCATACATTGACATTCAGTGGAAAATTAGAGAGCTTTTATTAACCATTTTTTACCATTTTGGTGTCTTGTAAATGTTATAGTAACATATGGGATAGAATAGGGAAAAATTGCTTCAGGAAGGAGGAAAATCCTAAATAATCATAAAACTTGTTTCTTACTGTGATAGGAACTGGACCCATCTCATTTGGGTTTGACACTGCTGCTGGCTTGTCATTTGCTGATCTGGCTTCAAAAAATTCTGGGGACTTTGCTTTTGGTTCTAAAGGTAAGCTTCATATCTGTATTTGGAAACAAACTCATATTGGACTGACTTTATGCTAAGTAGTTACCATATTTTTTTTCACTTACCACATGCACCCAGAAAAGATGCACATTTTGGGAAGGCATAATGAAAAGAAAAAAATTCTCTAGAGTAATGGCTGAACCCTGGCCACTGCTGCCCAGCTAGAGCTAGTCTTAACCTTGTCACAGTCACTGCTGAATTTGTCAGCAGCTTTTGACTGCTCAGCAAAAAGCTATTGCCAGTTCTGCAGTGGATATGAAAGTTAAAACTGTGACACTGCCCTCCCTTTCTGTGACCACAAAGGTCACTGACACACATTCAGTTAAAGGTCCTATGGGAACTGATATACAATCCCAACAATCGCACTTCCAGCCTTGCCGTGTGTGTGGCCAGAGGTGTGATAATGGGATTGAAGATCAGATCCCAATCGCACCCTATTGCTGGTGCAGGGGAAGCAGAGGATCATGATCCAGGGCTCCCCCTGCACCAGCAAGTAGCAAGCTGTGTGCCTGTGTATCTGTGGCTCAGAGCACCAGTCAGCTGATTGGCCCTCCCAGCATTGGGAGTGAACTGGAGTTTTGAGAGGCTCTGGTGTACTCACAAGGCAGGGAGTGCCAGCTAGGTGGCTGGCACTTCCAGCCTCGGGAGTGCCAGAGCCCCTCAAGACTGGTGCAGTCCTGAGTGTGGGAGTGCCAGTCCCCCAGCCATGGGAGCTTACTAGGGTGAAGGGCTCTAATGTACTTGTGGCTGGAAGCACTGATCAGCTGACTGGCATCCCTAGCCACAGAAATCCTAGGCTCTGGTGCACTCCCAAAGCTGAGAGCACCAATCAGCTGATCAGCTCTGGCTACACCTACAGTTCAAGGCATGATGGGAACCAGCCACAAAATTATAACGTATATTTTGTGCAATTGTGGTGTTAACTGCATGAACTGGGTTAGTATAGATGTGATTTAACTTGTTAATCATGTCCTAAATGTAAAGTCTGCCAAGGGCCAGCGAAACAGGTTCACAGCAGTCATTACATCTATATGCTTGTATTCCAGCCTCCAAACTAGCCACCCTGCTTAAAGCATTGTACGCTAACTTGGGGGGAGGGAGAGGGGCATGTGGTATGTGAGTTCATTGATTTTTCTGCCCGTGTTTAAGTTACTACTGAATCCATATCCTATGTGTGTATATTTAAATTTTGGAGAAATATTTATACCTTAAATCTTTTATAACCAGATAAAAACTTCAAGTGGGCAAATACTGGAGCAACAGTATTTGGAGTACACACAACCAGTAAAGGAGAGGAAGAGGATGGTAGTGATGAAGAAGAGGTCCATAGTGAAGATATCCACTTTGAACCTATAGTGTCCTTGCCAGAGGTAACTGTGACCAAAGTTGGCTTTAAAAGAGTACTAACAAGATGATACAGTGTTAGCAGCAGACATAATAAAATAAGTAGATTGGAATTAATTTTAAAACTAAATTTTCCCATGCAATGCTTGCATTTTCTTTGTATTCTGCTTGGATGCAAAGGTTGCTGCTGCTTTAAAAAAAAGAAAAAGGTGTCAAGTAAGCACTGCTTACTCCTCATTTCTGCCTTAAAAATAGATGTTGTCAAAGTAAGACCCATTTTAGGGAGCTGCCTAGCTTTCCAGTAGGACAGAGCATGATTTTAACTCTGAGAGGTCGAGAGAAACTTTACTTTAAAGTTATTAGTGTATGGCAAAATCTGCCTTAGATTTTCTTGAGGTTCTAAAACACTTGAACTTAAGCCTCTACGGGTATACCTGCTGTTGCGGTTCAGTAGTAGAATCCATGTCTGCCATGCAGAAGACCTGTGTTCAATTCCTAGACACCCACATAACTGCAGCCGTTGAGGCACTGAGCATCTGGACTCGGTCTGTCCTTTGGATTGCGTCTCTGTGGTCTAACGGGGGTGGATGGTCTGAGCAGTCTCTACTCCTCCTTACTCCTGCCTGGGCATATGTGTCAAAGGTCTGGGTAACCTCACACATACACTGTGATTCACTAGGATCGACGGTTGCCTACTACTACAGGTGTACTTACATGAAGGAACCTCAGTTTTGTAGGTAAACACAAATGTCAAAGCTGTTTAAATTTGTGGAGTTTCACTTAAATCTCAGAAGCAGCTTGCCAGACCTCAAGTCCTAGCAAAAACATCCTGGCTAAAGACTTTCTTGTTGAAACTGATTATTAAAGGTCAGTTATTTAACTTGTGGTAAAACAAGTGGCAGTTTTTTTGGTTTTTTGCTTTCTATATAATATGGAATTCCCTTGTTTAGAGAATCTCTTTGACTTCCACTTTAAGTAATGTAGCCATCCCAATTCAAACTTATAATATTGTTACACCATTTTGTATATTGTGTTCTTTGCCCTCCAACCCAAAGGGAGACCATATCAGGATCACTGAGCAGTAAGACACTGAAACGACCTTGTGAACAATCCTTAGTTGAGTAGCTAGTTGGTAAAAGAAGTGGTTTCAAGAGCTAGGAGGAACAGCTGTTTTATTGTAAGTCACCAAGAAGGGCAGAATATAAATCAACTAAATGAAGTATTGTAGCAGACAGCAGAACGAGCTTCAGGAAATGTTCTGCAAATTCATTATTTAGTTTTAATCTGATAGGAAATGAAACTGGAACTGTGAGAGTGCATTTTGGTTTACTAAGGATGTTACCACCATATTGAAAATGTTGCTAAGATGATTACTGTATTTACTCAAATAGAATACAGCCCTGATTTATAAAATGACCCCCAATAATCGGATTCTAGATATGGAAAATTATAACAAATATATACATTTTCCAGGTATAACATCTAATTTATTGCAGATTTGCCCTGCATTTGTCTCCCTTCTACTGCTACATCAGGGAAAATTTAAATTTGGGGTGGGTCAGGTAGCCCTTTGCTGTTTGCTTCCCCCCAGCTTTTTCCCCTGGCAGCCCCTTCTCCCTCTCCTTACTGTAATACCCTGCTCTCCCTGAGCACATGGAAGTGAGGAGCAAAATTGCAGACAATACCCTTGAAATTAAACATGGCTGTAGCAGCTACATGTAGTTCCCATGCATGTAGTTCATCCAGAATCAGTGAACGTTACCTTTATAAACTGCTGCAAGCTTTAGCAAATTAGCTCCAGAGACACACTTTGAGCATCATTTTGGCACCTGCTTATATTATAGTACAAACTATGCATGCTATTAGTCCAAAGCCACAAGCTCATGGTTTACTACATAGGTCATTGGGCTGGGCCCCACCAGAGTCAACAGGATTTGAAACCACAGTGACTTCACAGCTCAGCACTGCTCAGTATGTGTGCACTCCAGATACCACTTCCAGTCATAATTAGCACATGGATCCTTTGGAAGTGGGTGTTTTTTGTCTCAAGTTATGGGATGCTCCAAAATTTTATATGCAGATGAGGCACAAGGGCAGCTTGGTCCAGCTTCACTGCTTGGTGGGTGGTACCACACTGATATGTGCAAGGCTGAAAGAGAGGGGGTACCAGTGAGTCTGGGTGCATTGTATGCGATGGAGTGGCTCACCATGACTTGAAAAAGAGTTGGTGGTGAGGGGGACTGCACTTAATGAGCACTACTGTATGTTTTATTCAGATGGGCTGCGCTAACCTATTCTTGTGGTAGGCTTCCATGTGTTTTATAGTCATGCTCAGTGTTGGCTACATTAAATCAACTTCATAGTTGGTTTCCATTGATGAGCATATGCTGCTCTTGGCAGCAGTTATAATTATAGTGTATTTAGTGAGGTTTTGTTGCATGTTGTTATAAGGTGAGGGGCTTCTCCCCCCGCCCCCCATGCCAACGGGACGGGGAAATCTTGTCTTTTATTCAAGTAAATATGGTAATTGAGTGCAAACTGAGTTAGAAAATACCTCTTTTTCTTAAGACAAACCTTTGTTTTTTTCCTGTAACTAGACTGATGCAACAGTAATAAACGTGGTTTCAAAAAACATTAACTAAAACAGCTTTTGGAGGTGAGATACTGTGCCTTTTATATGCAGCATCCTTGAATCTTAAGAGTTAAGCTGAGAGAGAAATAGCATATTTCAGGGGCTGCAAACCACAGATGCTGGGTGAAGAGCACCTTCATTTTCACTGTCTATTAAGTTAACATTACTTAGTTCAGCTTAGAAATAACCTCCTTGCATCAACTTGGCATCTTCTCTAGAACTCTGCATAACCTGGCTCCATCTTCGCTATTATGTTTTTTCTTCCCTGCTATTACTGTTCTCCCTTCTCTTCATGTGTACTTCCACAAAACGTCTCTGGTTTATTGCCTTGTTTACTCCTACGCGCACACCTTCTTAAGCATTTCCTTGCTCCAGAAGAACTCCAGCAACTAATATTTTTTTAAACATTTTTCTATAGAGACTAGAAACTTTATTTACACAAAGATAATTATGTTTATCTTGAGTGGTCTAATAGTATGTAACAAGTTTTTTGAGGACACTACCCAATGTTCCACAGATAGCATACTACTAAAGAAGTGCTGTTAGCATGTATTAAAAAAAGAAAGAAAAATTAAATTCCTGCAGCACACCTGTCTATCAACAAAACTTAGAAATGTAGTGGGGATCCCTACAAAAAATGTGGCTGTGTAAAGCCTTAGAAAAGTGTATGACCACGAGAAACTATTCTAGAACTTTGTCAATTACTCCTAAATTTTAAATTTTCTAATCTAGTTTCAGACAGTTTGTTCAGTTCCTCTCAAGTGTGGGCAGATATTGCCTCTAGCTGTGGATTTGTGTTCAGAGTTTGAAGCAGAAAAGTTTGAGGGAAGTCTTCTTAAAAGTGTGCAGAACTAGGACTACAATGGCAGGAAGCAGGGCAGGGTGAAACTTTATAGATTAATTCAAAGAGGTATAAACTTTCATAGACAACCACCTCAGTTTATGTCTCTCTGAACCGGTGAGTCCTAATGTCACCATGCCCTGCCTTCTGCCTAATATAGTTACTTACCTCTAGGACTACAGTGGAAAGCAACTACAAAGGCTCTTATATGTGTGAAAAATTCACTGGTGATAGTGCTGTCCAGGAAAACATGAATTTTCTTATTTTGTAGGTGGAAGTTAAATCTGGAGAAGAAGATGAAGAAATTCTCTTTAAAGAGAGGGCAAAACTCTACAGATGGGACAGGGAGGTGTCTCAGTGGAAAGAACGTGGAGTTGGAGAGATCAAGATCCTCTTCCATACCCAGAAGAAATATTACAGAATTCTGATGAGAAGGGACCAGGTTCTCAAAGTCTGTGCAAATCATTTTATCACAAAATCCATGAACTTAAAGCCCTTGAATACATCAAACAATGCTTTAGTTTGGACTGCCGCAGATCACTCTGGTGCGTTTTAGTGGATGAAATGTTTTGGGGGTATGGGAAGAGGGGGAATTGTATGGCTTGGAGAAACATCTATACAACACTTTTCTAAATGCATAAGACAACTGGAAGTTTTTTGTTTTTTTTTTTGTTTCTGTTGAAACTGATGCTGAATATGGTTGGAGTAATCTCTTTGGGAATTTTGAATTTCAGATGGTGAAGGAAAAGTAGAACAACTTGCGGTCAGATTTAAAAACCAAGAGATGGCTGATTCTTTTAAGAGGAGATTTGAAGAATGCCAACGAAGCTCATCAGAACTGCAGAAAAGACATGTATCCCTGGCAGCAGGACTGTCAAAGGAGAGCAACCCTGTAGTGTATTTTGAAGTTTCTGCTGATGATGAACCAATAGGACACGTAACCATGGAACTGTTTTCAAATATTGTTCCTCGCACTGCTGAAAACTTCAGGGCCCTGTGCACAGGGGAAAAAGGATTTGGGTTCAAGAACTCCACATTTTTTAGAATAGTTCCTGATTTTATGTGCCAGGTAAGTTCAAGTTCAGGCCTTTTTAAGCAAGAGTAAACTAAATCTATCTTGACTGACTGGCATTTTGTCAGATTTTATGAAGAAGTTACGTAAGATTATTTTCATAGGATTTCCTATTACAAAAATTGCTTATTACTTAAAAGTGGATTTACAAAAAACTTTTCAATTCAGTGGGTGGGTTTTTACTTGGTTCCAAAGTTCAGATCTAATTTGAAAAGTGGTGCGTATGTTTTCTCTAAATGTGTTTTTTCTCTTGTATTGTGCCTCAGGGATTTCAATAGGAAACTTTCATTTACAAGTAAAAATATTGGGTTGGGAAAGGCCAAGTGGAGTGCTTTTCCTGGCTCAGTATAAAACCAGTAATAAAGATTTTGCCAGTCAAATGCTTGTATTGGTTTACCTGCATACTTCAAATATATATCTGAACTTGAAATAGAAAACATAAGGAGAGTGGGGGGGGGGGGCAGAGGCTTTTCATAGCATTTACAACATCTTGTCAGTATTTAAGAATTTGGAGAGTAATAGATTTAATAAGACCTGGTCAGGTATAGTAGTTGGTCTCCTCATTTCATGCCTTGCCTTACTGTGTACCTACTTACTAAATGCATTCTTTATACTCGCTTTATTTTGACCCATTTCTTTTTTTCTGTTTTTGGTTTTTTTTTAAGTCCCAGGGGTGGTGATTTTCAGCTGTGCCACTTAGTAATGCTAATGTTCCATATGATTGTAAATGCCATTACGTTTCTGAATAGAGAATGTAGTTCTGATTCTGAAAGGCACTAAATAGCTCTACTAGCTGCTGAACATCTTATGCTATTGCAAGTTTATGCTAGCTCGTGTGTTCTTTCGCAAAGATAAATTTAAGAATTTGCCTGTTTTTGCAGGGCCAACCGTTGTAAAATTGTTGATCACTTTACGTGCAAGAACAGATTCAGTCAGAACACAGCATACTAGTAGTATAAGGGTGTGTAAAGACATTCAGGGAAGGAGGGGGCACTAAAAATAGCCCAGTGCCAGGGAGAGGGTAGGAAAAGCACAGCCTTTAGACTGGGGTCAGCAGCTAGGCTTCCCAGCCCTGAGCGTGAATTGGGAACTGTACAGATGTTCAAGACAGATAAGTCAAAAAATGGACAACCCAATCTAAAGTTAGGTGTACCTTAGAGGTAGGGGTAGCTTAGACTGATCTAAAAATAGCTGATCCAATTTAACCATCCTGAACTTCTGTACTGTTTGCACTAAGATTGACTTGTGTAAGGTCCACATCTAGGTGAACCAAGTTTGATTGGGTAGCCATTTTCAACACAATGTAACCTTCCCCTAATGTCTGTACCCAGCCTAAGATAAACTTGGTGCTTTGCAGTTTGGTCCTGAACTTGAAAGGTAAGAAATAAAATCTCATGGGAAGAATTAATAATTTTGGTTTGCTTTGTTTGTCTAGCTTGCACAAGTGAAGCATGAAAAACACTATCTTCTTGTTCTAAAAGAAAAAACTATCTCTAGCTCTAATTTTCTAATGCAGTAGTTTTCTGTGGAAAACAGCAAGTTTTCTACTTCATAAATATATTTGGGTTTAGAAGTTTTAATAAATCTCTAATATTTTCAGGGAGGAGATATCACTAAACAAGATGGAACAGGTGGACGGTCCATTTATGGAGAGGCATTTGAGGATGAGAACTTTGAAGTAAAACACACTGGTCCTGGATTACTCTCAATGGCAAATAGGGGCCGAGACACAAATAATTCTCAATTTTTTATTACACTTAAAAAAGCAGAACACTTGGACTTTAAACATGTGGTATTTGGATTTGTGAAGGATGGCATGGATGTTGTGAAAAAGATGGAATCTTTTGGTTCTCCCAAGGGAGTAGTGAGCAGAAGAATTGTTATTACAGACTGTGGACAAATATAGAATCATCGCTTTAACCTCATACCAATAATCTTTTAACAGCCTAAGTTGAAGTTTACCTGTTGGCCAATTATGTTCAGCATTTTGAAATGAACACTTCTGATGTATAAATGTAAAATTTACAGCTTTATAGCCAAGTATTTTTTTTAATGTGTTCTAATTGATTTTGCATGTTGTGAAATAAAACAGTTCAAGCACTGGTGCATTTCAGGTGTATTTGTTATTCTGACATTTGTATTAAATGTCCATTTTCAAATTAAATCCTAGTCTTGTTAAAGCAATGGTCCGTGTCTTCACTTTGGTTTGTACAAGGAATATTGCCGTTTCAGTTATTCTGGCTTGCTGCTCTGTTGTATCAACATCTTGAGTAAGAGGATTTAGTATGGAAGTGCTGGAGACATGTGGAAACAGCTAATGGATTCACCTTTTAACATCATCCCTGTAAGCAGGACCATTTTACACTAAGGGCTTGTATTTGCTACTTGGTAGTGTTGTGAGTAGTATTTGGGTACCTGAACACTGATGTTGGTAAATTACTGCCTGTGTAAGGTTGTTATAGGCTTTCATTGTCGAGATCTAATGGATACATTAAGGTCTCTTTTTGTCATTGGGCTTTTCTGCACATACTATTCCTATGTACAGTGGCATACTACTAATAAAATATTTGACTATAGGATAAATGAACCTAGTAATGCTTATTGGGTGGGAAAACTGGAAACAATAATAATTTTCAGGGTTTTTTTCTGCAGACTTGCATCAAATGTTACTGGGTGACCTTTTTGTCACCATGCTGCTTGAATCGTTTGGGGCAAATGCAGTTTTTGGTTCTTTTTATGATAGCTTGTTTCTACTGACTGGCAAATGTTGGCTTAAATTTAGTATAGAGCAACAAAGTAATTATGTGTAAATTACACTTGAGTAAAGAGGGTTTTTCTGTTAAACCTTTATAAACATGATTAATGAGTTAAAGCAATTTAATTAAGAAATTTTTGTGAAGTATGTAGATAATGTGCGAATCCTTCATATATAAAAAGCAATCTTTTCACTTTTTAATAAAATACTTTAGTTCTTCATAATGTCAGTTTTGTAAAATAATCAGTTTTACTATATGAATTAAGCTAGGAAAAGTGGGGAAGATTGCAGAAATGGGTTTTATGTTCTGTTCTTTCTGTGACTTTTTTTCAAAAGTAAACAAAATGTAAAGCATCCATGGTTTTCTGTTGCTTTAAACTTGTGGAGCTAAATTAACAAGTCTGGAGCTTTCCATCCTCATGACTTGAAACTGCAGTTGAGTAGCAACAAGATTCAAATCATGATTTTATTACACTTTATCTATTGATAGTTATAAAAAGTAGTTCAATGTAAAATGAAACTTTTTGCATTGTTTTTGCCTAAATTTAAATAAAATTGAATTGGGAATTTGGTGTTTTTTTTCTGGTTTACTGGTATAAAAGCAATCAAGGAAACAAACAGTGAACTTCTGAATTGTGTTTCTTAACTTCAGCTCTACCAGAATTCCAAAACAGTCTAGTAAAGTTGGGATGTTTTAGGATAGGTGTAGAGAGATGTAATGTTTAGATTGTTCTAAATACGTTTTTAAACACCATTGGGTCAGAGTTTTTAGTGAGTTATCTGCAGTAACTCCCACGCACTTTTTTGAGTGACAGTTAATGTAGAACCCAACACCATTTAAGTGCATCTCAGGCTATTCTTTCCTGAGGTGTCACTTCTGTACTCATCAATGTGAAACTTCATTTGCCCTTTTGTTGCCCATTCACTCAATTTTTAAGATCCTCCTGCAGTTCTTTAGTCAGCTCTTGTTTGTACCATTTTGAATGACTTAGTGTCATGTGCCAACTCAGTCATGTCCCTATTCATCTTACCCCAAACCATCTATGAACATACAAAATTGTTTGTGCACACCCCTTGCAGACCCCACTTCACATGCCTAGGGATCTACTGAACTCAAGGAGGTGGCCAACTAATTTGTAAGCAGATCCCAGTGCTGGCTGCTATTTTCATGGGTTGGCAGGCCCCCTATACTTCTGGGCAAGGGTCCCTGGCAGTCCTCCTCCCTGGAGGTTGTCAGATGACTCCAGCTGCCACTTAAATTGCTTAACAGTGTTTCCCTTAATGGCTTCCATAAGCCTAATTGGAGGATTAAGCCTGCAGAAGCCATTAACTGATGCTGTATTAAGCAATCTAAGCACTTCAACCCTAAAATCAAATATTAAACTAAAGCTATGCATATCATGAATTGTAACTAATACCACCTCGGCATTTAGTTAAACTCTAAACTGAAATATCTTATTAAATCTATATACAGCATGAATTCTAACTAATACCAGCTATTTACACTTTGTTAACAAATGCCAACGGTATATGCTGTATTAAAGGATATAAAAAGGAGTTTACTAAAACTGAATGCTAACCTTGAGACAGGCAGTTCATGCTAGGTATTAAGTGCAAGCATGCTGCATCTAGCCACAGTTGCTGCAGACAGTCTCAGTGGGGTGTCACTGAGTTCATTGGAATGATGAGGCAGCATCTTGCCAGGGTGTAAAGATGTGGAAAATTGGTCACAGACAGAGTCCCAGAACATGGGCATCCAGTACTGATAAAGTTCATATAAGCAGCATGTTCATTGTAGTGCTCTTTCCCCATCCCAGGCTTGCTTGCAGCAGCTGAGGCTCACAACTTGGAATAGGTGCCTGACTGGGGTCCAAGATGTGAACAGCACTAAGGAAGAAGGCAGCCAGCTGTCTGAACTGTGGTGGCAGTGATACCTGTAATACTGGTTCAGCTTCACAGCTGTTGCCTGAAATAGGTCCCTTCTGTGCTGGTTTTCATGTGGACAGCTTGATAGTTCTTGCAATGCCCTATCTTTGGCCCAGTTTATCAAATCTATCTGCTTGTGTGTGATGGATCACAGCCTGACAACGTTCAAACCATGGTAGGAGCTCCATGAACCAGGTAGTGCTGTCAACTAAAATCTTTATTTGATCTTAAAAGTTGCTTCACCCTAAGAGCCTGCAAAGTTTAAGCATGCACTGTGTGCTGGGTGTGACTTCTAGCTCCTCACTTGAAACATGCTGGTAGTGCTGCATATGCTTGGTGTGGTAATGGACTGTGCTGAACCACGAATTCTACTGTGTGAGCACAGGCTCTGGTGGCAGCAGCACAGTGCTATGTGAGTTCCCATTTTGACTGGCAATGGACTCCCTGTCCTGGAGCTTGAAGGCTTTCTTGAAGGAAGACACCAAGCTATCCACATCAGGAAACTCTGCTAGATGTCACTTGCTAAAGACAGAATGTGTGCATTGCAAGTAATGTGACCTGCATTGGGCAGCATTCATTGAAGCACATCAGAGAAAGTCTTGCACATGTAAATGGCATTGCTGGACATGAATGGTGAGATCTTATTAAAATCTACCCCATAGCTGACAATTACTTTCACAATTGATTGTGACGCGATAGAAAAAATGACAGGTGAGGTGAACTGGCTCTGTTTGAAACACAGACAGGGTCCTGATCTGTCTGGCTCCCTGGTACAAATAACTATGTGCTTATGAACACTTCATCTTGTGGGTTAGTGGATTCATCAGCCTCATTTGTAGATTGTACAGGTGAAGCAATTGCAGTAGGGAGATGGTCTTGATGAAGACTGTTGGCACATGGAAAACTGCTAGCATTGGGCATGTGTTGTTTCACATAGTCCCTTAACTTGGGGTGATCAAGTTTCTCCAGCAGAATGTTCACTGCTGTGAAAGCCTCCATGAGCGAAAATGCTGTGCCTCACCTTACCAAGCTGCTTTCTGCAGTCCTTTTAAACAGGGAGGACACAGTCGCAACAGCCTTTCGCTTCATGTGTGCCGCAGACCCTGAAGTGTTGATGTATGCTTGTTTTCCTCAACACATCCAAAGTTACATTGCAGGCAGTACAAAAGAGTCTGCCTCCTGCGTACAAGGTTCCTGCAGGATACTGTCCTATATGGACCAGCACTGAAACGTATTTGTCTGTCTTGGAGAATTCCTTGGTGTTCATTAGCCCTGCTCCTCCTCAGTGTGCATGTCTGTGGGTGCTTTAAAAGCTGGCACCAAAACCTTCCCTGGCTGGCCCCAGACTTGTTCCTGAACTGAGCCTGTCAGGGGTTTAGCCTCTTGATTTGCTGTGCCCATCCCACAGCTGTCCTCTCCCCTGTGCTGTTAGGACTCTAGAGAGCTGCTCACCCTTTTCTCTTGCATCCTTTTTTTTCTTTCACCAAAATTGCAGAAACCACACTTTTTCACAGAGCCCACCTGAATTTGCAGTTTCTGCAAAAATTGCATGATCACAATTTCTGTAGGTCCCTACATATTCCTTCACCTGTAAGAACTGATCATTTATAACTATTCTGTTCTGCCAGTTCCTGATCCACAAGTCTAACTTGCCTCTAATTCAACACTTTAACAATGTTTTAGAAGCAACTTGCTCTGAAGGTCCCCAGCTCTTGGATGTTGCCACCCCACTCCTGACTTGGCAATCAATTCCCCTCATTGCTAATGTTCTGGCTTTACAGGCCAGATGTGGCCTGTAGGGCTGCAGGTACTCTGCTTTAATTCTGTGACAATTTAGTTTCATTAAAAACCTCTGATGCAGGATTTTCAAAGAGCTTACAAAAAAGGCCAGCTACGCTATAGCAATAGTGCCCAAACTCCTGTTGTGGACCTCATTTAGTTCAGAGCTGTCATTTGGCTTGAGGGGCTGCCCAGAAGTTTGGAAATACAGCAGCAAGGGAGCCCTAGCAGTATTAATTGACACTCCCCTGCTGCCAGGTTTCTGACCTCTGGAGAGTCTCATGGATAGTGTCCCTGCATGCTAGATCGATTGGCATGAGTAATCACTCAATGGCTGAATCCAAATGCGTGGGATCAGGCTGGCATGCTCTATTATAGCAGCTGCAGACTGACAGGAGGACCCTGCATGCACACTGATCCACTGCCACTCATGAGGCCTGTGGGCTTAGAAGCACTGTCCTATATGAACTGGATAATCCTGATCTGCATGCTTGTAGCTTTCCCTGCGTGGTTCTGAAGCCTACGCAGGATGGAGCCCAGGCAACCAAAGCATCTTCCCCATAATTCCCGAGATTAGAGTGACACTGAGAGAAGCAGCTTGATTTCCATGTGGCTAAGGCCATCATCCTACCTTATGTTGTTCTGAAATGCTGCTTGTTTTCCACTGCTCTACAATTATCTAAATACAGAGCATGTCCCCATGGAGGGACAAGGCAGGGTAGATTTGCACTTACAGACTACCTAAGATATAGAGCAGCGGTTCTCAACTGGGGTACCTTGAGATCCTCTCAGGGGTGCTAGGCAACATTAGCACTTGAGTGTGCAAAGATGATTCATGAGATTAAACTGAGAGATGCCAAGTCCATGGTCTGAGTTCTTGGCAAGCGACCTGTTCTAGTATTTTTCTACAGTCAAAAGGACAGCAAAAACAAAAGGGCTGGCATGTTCTGGGGGCAGGGAAATACTGAGTCTTAAAAGAGGGTTGAGAACCACTGGTATAGAGCATAAACTTTGATAAGCTCCAGCTGGCTTTATCAGTGTGGAGGGAAGCACATGGGTGGCCAGCTCCTTCCAGCCTCACAGTAAGGTGGGTTTGTTGACTACAGTGACAAGGGCCACCCACCCTGGGTGGGCAGCAGTAACAAGGGTCATTCATGTAGGGCAGCACTCTGGCAGGACAAGCCTGCCCTTGCCTTGCAGACACTCAGCCACCAGAGCTGGGCAGACAGGGTGTTGCATGAAGCTCTGCTCTAATTCTTTCACTTTAGCTATTGCAGCTGCTCCTTTAGTGATTCTCAGTCAGGGAGGTGGGGTGCAGAGAGGACTGTTCATGAGCAGGGTTCAAACGATTGAAGACAGGCGAGGCTGGCAGTCGTGCAGGTGCTCTGTGGCCCCAGCGCAGAGCCGCCCGGGGTGGGGCTCGAGGGCAGTGCGGAACGCCCAGGTATCAGCCAATAGGCGAGCTGCACCACCCCCTCCGGAATGTACCATCTGCCTCTTCCCCTCGCAGGACCCCGCGCGGTGGGAGCGCCCAGCGCGGCCCTCCCGGGGGGCGGAATCTGCCCCGGAGCGCCCCCTGCCGCGCAGCCGCAGAGCGACCGCGCGTCTCCTGTGCCCGCTTCCCGCTCCGCGTACCCCTCGGCGCATGCGCGGTGCTTTTCCCCTCCCAGAGGCGGGGGGTTCGGATCCCGCGGACTGCTGCAGGCGCGCGCGGAGGCCAGGGGGCTATGACGAGTGCGGCTCTGAGCCGCTCCCTGGAGCGCCTGAGGCGGCGCTACCTGCGCGGGGACCCGGGACCCGTGGGGGTGAGGGAGCACTTGGGGGCGGGGTGGGGGGAGTCGCCCCTCCTCCCTTTGGGTTGAGAGCGTGCACGTTGCTGGGCGGAGCGGGGGAGCCCCGGGATTGGCAGGACAGGACGGGGCGGGGCCTAATATGTAGGGCCAGTGAAGCCCCAGGATTGCTACTGTGAGCCTCAGGATTGGCTGCAGGGGGAGGGGTGGGAATAGGATGGGGGCAAGGGGAGTGGGGCTGGACCAGCGGGAGGTAGGGGGTGGAGACCACAGGCCTGGGTTGGGGTGCTGGCCCTCAGAGCTACTATGTGCTGGTCAGACCACAGCCCTCCCAGCCCTCTTTAGGAAGCCTGTGTCCTTGCCCCCAGCAGTGCCCAGGGGGATGCCAATGCCTGCTGTGTGCCAGGCTCCTGCTGAGGCTGCACTGCCTGCCTCCCATCTCCCCCTGTTCACATGCTTCCCATCCATGGCCCTGCCAAGCCCTGGCACCTCCTGGTCATCCTCCTGGCCCTGGCCAAGCAGGTTGTACCTGACCAGGAAGGAGGCTCTGGCCGGGAAGGTCCCCGCAGACTGTGGGGCCACTTTTCTTGCCCTTTGCTCCCATCTCTGAGCAGAGTATCACTGGACAGCGTCTGCTGGGTCCTTGGACTAGTTTGAGGGCCAGTGTGTGCAGTCTGCTTTGCTCTGCTCAGTGTCCCTGCTTGGCACTTTGTTTTGAACCTCTGACCAGCACTGCCATCCCTGTTTTTTTTATTATTTGTCCCAAGAAATCTGTTGCCCCCTTTTCCTGTAGCCTCCACACTCTCTAATGAGAAACTTGGTGGGCTGGGCCCGTGTGATTAAAAGGTGACAAATAGGCCTGGCCCTGGCTAAGCTGGCCGTCTACCTAACCAGGAAGGAGGCTGTGGCTGAGAGGACTCCCAGCTACTGTGGGGCCATTTCCCTCTTCCTCATTTGCTTGCATCTGGACAGGATTTCACCAGGCAGTGTCCACTGGTCCTTTGAAAGCCAGTGGGCTCTGGCCAGTGTGCTCTGCTTGGTGGACCCCCTGCCCCCCAGTGCTCGTTATCAACCTCGAACTCTTGCTTTTATCCCTGTTTCCTTTTTCTTTTCTCAGTTGTCCCAAGTAATGAGTTGATGGGCAGTTAGTGGACTCCCTCATTATGGGAGGTTTACAATATACTTGGTGGACAGTGGCCCAGGTTTCCCAATGGCATATTGAAGGCCTGCACAGAGTTGTTGCCACAAGCGAGTATTAGGCATACTTTACAGACACCCCCAACACCTGCCCCTTTGCCAGCCAGGAGAGACCCCAGTGCACGCTTGGCTCAAGTGCACCAGGTTGTGGTCTTCTTCCACCTCCTCCGGAACCTCCTGAGGTTCTGAGTGCCCTGCCTTTTTCCGCCCATCCACCTTTTTGTTTACGTGGTCCCCATCCATGGCCCTGCCAAGCTCTGGGACCTCTGGTCAACCTCCTGGACCTTGCCAAGCTGGCTGTCTACGGGGCCAGGAAGGAGGTTCTGGCTAGGGGGAACCCAGGCTAGTTATGGGGCTGTCTTCTCCCTCCTCCACTATTGACCCGAGGCAGAGTTTCACTAGTTGGCGTCTACAGGCTCCCTCAACTCGTTCAGGGAGCAGTGGGCACTGACTGGTGTGTTCTTTTCAGTGTCCCCTTCTGGCTCCCTTATTATTTACCTGTGACTTCATTTTCCTGACTTCTCTTTAAGTCCCCTGTATTTAGTTGATGTGTCCCCAGTAACCTCCCTTATTAATGGAGGCTTACAGTTTTTCTTTGATGGGCCCACAGTCTCTTGAGCATAGCAAATATGCTTGAGTTGCACAGTGGCAGAGAGTGAATGCTGAAAGGGGGAGTGGAATAGGGGTTTTTATGACCAGGGTTTTTTCCACTGTTCTCTCACTTGCACCCTTCAGCATTTAAGGTCTAGGGCTCCCCACACATCAGAAATCCGGCAGCAGGGGAGTGGCAGTTAATGCTGCTGTGGTTTTACCACCTACAGATTTCTGGACCTGTGGGGATCCCCTCCCCTGGGCCAAATGGCAGCACCGTAAGGTTGAGCACCACTGATATAGCCTATCTAGGCTTTTCCACAAGCTTTTTGAAAATCCTACATCAAAAGTTCTTAATGAAATTAAATTGTCATGGAATTAGCGCAGGGGGTGGCAACCTGCAGCCCTACAGGCCATACCTGCTGCACAAAACCAGGACATCAGCAGTGAGGGATATTGATTGCTGCATCAGAAGTAGATTGGCAGCAGTTCAACAGCTGGGGGTGGGTGGCAGCCTACCTTCAGAGCAAGATGCTCCTAAAACATAGCCAAAACTCAGACAGGGAGAGGCCAAAGTAGATTGGCACCTTTATATCTATCAACTGAATAAGCTCAGTATATAGAGAGGGATGGAGCACAAGCCTGTGTTAACCCAAGTTCACTTAAGTATCTGAAGTGAACTTGGGATCAGGAAAGTTTATGCACATGCTCTCTGTCTCTCTCTCTCCACTTCACTTAGTTGGTCTACAAATGTACAGATCTGCCTTGCCTTCTCACTGACTTCAAGCCAGCGCAGCTAACAACCTTTCTCAACCAGGGTGCCTTGTCTAGGAGATGCTTTTCAGGGTGCCATGGTATGCTGCTCTGTATTAGTGTTAGGTATGCAATGCCTATGCATGATTCACTGCACAAACCCAAAGATTTCAAATTGGAATTCATATTGTCAGTGATGTTCTGGCCAGTTGTGGTCTTTCTGAATTCTTGGCAGTAGAAGAATTGCTCAGTTATTTTTCTGTAGAGCAGGCATTTTCTGAGGGGTACCTTGAGCATAAGACTTACCAGTGGTCGTGTTTGCCAGTTAGAGATGGATAGAAGACATTGTTGTCATGACGACTTGAGCAATGAGACTGCACTAATCAAGAAAGATTGGGACCTTCAGTTTTAATAGTTGGAAAGGAAAGAAAGTCAGGTAATGAGCAGTGATGTGAAGGAAACAATGACAGTATGTGGACAGTGACTAGATGTATGACAGTGAGGAAAAGATGAAGATATTCCCAAGGTTATAAGCTGAACTCGTGGGAAGGTTAGTAATAATGATTTCAAGAGTTGATAGAAAACAGAGTAGAGAAGAAGTTCAGTTTGGGCCATACCATGGGCTTGGGAGAAGTGTTATCACTACTTAGAATGCTTAGCACTACATTGTTCCAACCATGTCTTTGGGAAGCTGGCCTATGTTCTGTCATAAGAACAACCTTGGTCTATACAGATGTCTTTTCTTTGTTCCAGGAACTTCTGTTTCAGCTTTTGCTAGGCTAATTACTATGTCACAGCAGCAGCTGGATGCCTTACTAGAAATACTTGAGAACAATCAGAAACTGTAGTTTGAGGCAAGTGGAGGCCTGAGCTCCGCGGGCTAGGTATATAAGTGGGTCGGGCAATCCATGCTACTTTCTGAGAGCATCAGTTGGGTATGTGCATGTGAAATGGCTGTGAAATGTGTTTTCATGGCCGTTCTCCCCATCCTGAAAATTTTGGATCCACCTTCTTATTTTCCATCTTAATTTCGCCTCTTTCCAAGTCCAGGCAAAGATTAGAGTCTCCCAGCAATCATATCCTGAATCCCACCAGTCCATTTTCTTTCTGGAGTAACAGCTTTCTCCAGCTTGCTTGCTGATGTAGTTAGCTAACTCAGATAAAAGCACTCTGCTGAAAAGCTGAAGTTCAGCTCCTACTGCTGATCAGCAGGTATCCTGTTTTTCTCTGATAAAAAAACCCCAGTTTTCAGATATAAAAAAGTAATATATAATGATGTTTCATTTTAATCACGGAAAAATGTGGATTTTGGGTTACTTCTTTAATCTTAAAATTAGGAATTTTTTTTAATCAGAGAAAACCAAGATGCTTTATGCGGCACTGGTCAGGCCACAGTTGGAGTACTGCATCCAGTTCTGGGCGCCGCACTTCAAGAGGGATGTGGACAGCATAGAGAGGGTCCAGAGGAGGGCCACTCGCATGATCAGGGGACTGCAGGGCAGGCCCTACGAGGAGAGACTACGGGACCTGAACCTGTTCAGCCTCCACAAGAGAAGGCTGAGGGGGGATCTAGTGGCCTGTTACAAACTAGTCAGAGGGGACCATCAGGCACTGGGGGAGTCACTGTTCTCCCGAGCACAGCCAGGAGTGACCAGGAACAATGGTCACAAGCTGGCAGAGGGTAGGTTTAGGTTAGACATCAGAAGGCGCTAGTTCACGGTCAGGGCGGCTAGGTTCTGGAACCAACTTCCAAGGGAGGTGGTGCAGGCTCCTACCCTGGGGGTTTTTAAGAAGAGGTTAGATGAACACTTTGCTGGGGTCGTTTAACCCCAGTACTCTCCCCTGCCATGGCAGGGGGTCGGACTAGATGATCTTCTCAGGTCTCTTCCGACCCTAGAAACTATGAAACTAAGATCCCTGCTGATGATGCATTATGAATGTTACAGTTGTATCTAAAAGAATAAAATTATTTCTTTTCTTTTCTGTTAACATTCTGTTAATATAAGTTCTTTTCAAGTTAGATGCATTAGTCCTTTGTGTGTTGTTGTCTACAGAAAGTTTGATTCCCTTGGCCATGCTAGGCCAATGGGCTGGGTAGACCTGTGGCCTTTTTCAGATTGAGATTGTAATGTAAAGTACTTAGGAAGTGCTGGATTACTGTTTTTTTAATTTATTATGATACATCCTTTAATTATATCATCACATAGTTATTTTTTTCACAAGACCTGCTTTGAATCTGGCATACCTAGTCTGCTTATGCTTAAGTTCTTTCCTGTAGTTTTTAAGGATGTTATTTATCATAAATTAACTAGCAAATTACCCATCAAGAATGATGGAGCAGGGACAGAGCCCCATGTCCCTCCCTCCCCCTGTCTAGGCCCACTCCCCGCTTCCCTCCTCCCTCTTGGGGTTTGGGCCTGCTCTCCCCTTTCACGCTGATGCAGGCGGTGTGGGGGAGGACTGGGCTCGAGGGTGCAGAGAAGTCGGCCCACCATGGCAGGGGGAAGAGGTGGGGGGAGCAGCAGGCCTGGGCCAGCACTGCTGGCCTCACTCTCCCTGTTCTGTCCATTCCATTGCCTCTGCCTCCGGGGTGGCGGGGGAGGCCAGCACAGTTGGCCGCCGCCTCGTGATTAGTTGTTTCAGTCTGCTAATCATAGTCAAAATAAAGCATTATGGACAGAGAGACAGATTAAGGCTTTTATAATATTAGAATACTTGAAAATTCTGGAGTGACAGGCAAAAATATAGGACTAAGTGGAGTCACTTCAGTTCCTTCCTAACTTGCTTTTAGGTCTGTTGGTTTAAATGAACCTTGTCACTGCAGTATCTGAGGGACTCAAGTTTTTAAAAGGAAAAATAGCAGTCTTTTCTTTTAGACTCTAGGACAAACAACTCAATTAGTTTCATACTAATTTTTTTGTTTGCTCCTGTGTGTGGGAGGGTCACACATTTTTGTTTGGAAAAAATCATCCCTTTTTCAAACCAAGCAACTTTTTAGCAGGAGTTTCACAGTGAAGTGATTATAAGCAATAAACATATTATATTATGATAATATATTTATAATGTATATATTATATGTTATGTTATACATAATTGAATATATATCTATGATATATTCAATTATGGTGAGATATGCTGGGATCAATTTATTTGTGTGTCTTTTTTTTTTTAAAGGATTGTCTTTCAGGTGCATTACAGACCAAATCTAAGAGTGAGAATTCCCCAACGTACACAGGTAATACAAGAGAAAAGGATGCTCCAGATGTTTTTATTAAAAGGATTCAGAATTACAATTCATTTCTCTTAAATTTCTCTTAAGAATTAAGGTGCTTAGGCAAGTATGCTTATACCTCTTCTGTCGGGGAGGCAAACTTGTCTTGGCTGGCATACGTGAAAATCTGGTACCAACCTAGGAGTGTACATAAAATCTCCAGGGAAACTCTAAAAGAGTTTTCCTGTGCTGCAGGTTTGGATGGGTTGTGAGGAGAGGAGTGATCAATGCCTTATGGCAGAAGTGTTAGACTGACCTCATCCCTCAGGCTGAATCTGGACCACCATGCCCCTGATTTCAGCAGTGGGCCCCTCCTGTCCTCAGTGCCCCTCAGTTTCTGGCTTTTGTACAAGCCCCACTGGCTGCATGATATGGCTCCATGGGCTGTAAGTCTGACACCCTACTTTATGGGGATGAAAAGGAAGATCATTGCCCCTATAGGGCACTGACAGACATGTAGCTCCCTGCTGTGACTCTTAGTGCTTTGCAGGAAGTGCTATGAATTACAGCATTCCCCCTGACCCAGTAGATGTTTGCTGTTGGGTCTGGGAGGTTGGGGGATCGAGCTCCAGTTTGGGAGAAGGGAGGGGAAGGATTTCCATCTGGAGTTTGCCCAGCACTGGTGGGTGGTGCAAGTGGATTAGAGCACCCCAAGGTGTTATTGGGGCATGGAATAAGTGTTTATATATGTGTGTATGTGTGTTTTTTGGGAGCGTGGTTGTGATTAGGGGGTGTTGCATATAAAGGAAGTTGAGGGATAAAGCTGACTGATATCCTCATGCTGAATAAAGGTAATAAGAGGTACAATTTGTGAGGCATTTTTTTCTTTTACAGAAATGTATTTGCATTCATGTGATGTGCAGATGCCACTAATAAATAAAGATTGTTGGCTGGAGGGGGCAAAGTTAAACACCTTGTGATATAAATAATAAATAAAACAGGAAACTTAAAATCATTTTAGACATTTTATAATAGTTCTATAATACATTTTTATACTCTGTGTTTGCTTCTTAATATATTTAACAAACTTAAGACCAAAGGTACTCCTTAAATATTTGCGAGTAATACTTCTTACCATCCTGGCACTCAGGAATTGCAACTAAAAAGATATGATGTCAGAGCTGAAATTTTAAAGCAAATTAGCATAGGAATCCAAGCTATAAAACTTCACAAAGACAAATCTTACCTGAAAGCAAATCTGAGGTTTCTGAGATAGTATTATCAATCAAAAGCTTTTAAAAAGATCTATAACGGTATCATAAGCTGAACATTATCTTATTTTTAAATCAGTAATAACACTTCTAAGTTGCAAGTTATTCTAATATTTCTCCATCTAAATTTAATTCCTTACTTACTAGACCATATTCTAATATAATTCAGAATTTTGCTTTCTTAAATGGTATTGCTCACATCGTAAAAATTGTATTAAGCCATGATGGATCCATGCTGGTTTAATGTGCTTTTCAGCTTCAAAATATAGTATTTAATAATGTGATTTATTTATAGGTAACCTGGACAGTTTGTTGGATAATACAGTTATTTCTTTGTCCATAAATGCTTCACAATCAAAATCTTCTCAAATAGGAAGAAAGTACTACACCAAACCTTTTGACGATTTGTGTAAGAAGTTTAAAAATTTGGATTGGTAAGAATTCTTACCTCCTCTGCTGCACCACATGCCCGACACACAACATCCTCCTCCCCACTCTGTCATGCACATGGGCATCCACGCCATGGGCTCCCCCAGCATTGTGGGGTGCACTGTGCCACC